ACCAGAAGGCTGGCGGTTCAAATCCACCAGCCACTCCTCGGAAGGAAGGTTGGGCAATCCTACTTCCGTAGTGATACTGCCTCGGAAACCCAAGGAAGGGGTCGCTATGAGTCGGGTCCGACTCGACGGCACATAACAACAACAACAACAACAATCTTTACAGGAGCAGATTTCCAGGCTTTTCCTCCAGAGTACCACAGAGTGGTTTCAAACTGCCAACCTTTAGGTTAGTAATGAAGTGTAAACCATTTGTGCTATCCAGGTTCCCATACAGTGTGGATTAATGTTTCTGTTTTCTTGATGCTTATTTATTTAGTTTCAAAAAATAGAGATCTGGTGGCACAGTGACTATAATGCATTGCTAACTACAAGGTTGGTGGTTCACACTCACCAGCCACTGCACAGAAGAAAGATGGGGCAATCTACTTCTATAAGATTTACCTCCTTGGAAACCCATGGGGGGAGTTGGAATCGACTTGGTGGCAGTGGATTTGGTTTTTGTTACATAAACTTGCAGAACTCTCTTGCATAAACTTGCAGAATTCTCTTAAAACAGCAGTTCATATTCTTAGTCATTGCTTTCTTCAGTCAGCTTTCAAAATATCCATCTACTATTTTGTGTGTGTGTTTTTTTTGTGGGGGGCTGTATAGGGAGACCTGCATATGTATGTTTTTTCTCTTTGATGTAGAATCATGGAGGACCTTCTACAATGGTTCCTGCTGCTTCAAGATACTGTATTGCAATGCAGGGACAGAGCTCAGACAAACAAACTTTGAATGTAGAGGAAGGCGACAGCCAGGTTGAAAATGGTGAGTTAGTTACAGTTAAATTATGTGTGTGTGTGTGTAATTTTTTTTTAAAATGGTTCTTGTGGCATTAGTACATCAAGATTGTGAATTAGACTAAAGGCTTGCTTTTGGGTTTTCACTGTGTTCTGGGAGCTTGTTTTGGAAAAGTTATTAGTTCTTGTCTGGGGGCTTGCTAGGTTCTTTTGAAGATGTCTTGGTATTTCAGGAAGACAGACTTGTTACAATTTTTCAGCTTTTTACATAGGTCTTTAAGGAGCCCTAGTGACTCTCCACGGCACATAACAACAGCAGCAGTGGCATGATGGTGAAGTGCTTAGCTGCTAACTGAAAAGTCAGTGTTCAAATGCACCAGTGACTCTGGGAGCAAAGATTTGGCAATCTGCTCCCATAAAGATTCTCTGCCCTACAGGGTAATAACTAGGAGTCACGATCATCTTGGTCGCACAAAACAACAACAACAACAACGTAGGTCTTTAATGACAAGCATTTTTTATCATATGAAAGTGAGTTTTAATTTGGTAAGATGTCAGTATGGGAATCTATTTCTTATTCCAAAAAAAAAAAATATATGTATATATATATGTATATATATATATAGATATAGTCAGCTTTGCGCATCGTTCTCTTAAGATTGATATAGTATCAAATTGACAGCATCAGCTAGAAAGATTAGATAGTCATGAAGGTTGGATAAATGCTTGAAACTGTTGTACTGAGATAACCTTTAAACCTTAAGCCAAAAATATCCTCTGAAGTCTTCTTCAAACTAAACAGTAGTTTAGCTTAGCTAGGAAGGAATGTCTGCCTTGAACATTGTGCTTTTTTAAGAGTTATTTATATGGGATCAGCTGATGACAAGTCAAAACATTAGATAGTAAGCTTGGGGGACAGTGAGTATGTGTTCATGGGAGAGGGACAACTCAGGAAAGGAAGGAGAGAGTGGTTGCACAACTCGAAGAATGTCGTCAGTGTCACTGAACTGTGATGGAGGAACTTCTGATTTGGTGTATGTTCTGCTGTCTGTATTCTCACCACCACCAAAATAACCAAACCTGTTGCTGGTAGGTCAATCCCTTCCAACTCCTAGTGACCCTATAGGACAGAATAGAATCATTCCATAGAGTTTCCAAAGCTGACTATTTTTGGAAGAAGACTTCCACATCGTTATCCCATAGAGTACCTGGTGGGTTTGAACTCATGACCTTTTTAACCACTGTGCTACCAGTTTGCTTCACCATATGTATGACTATTTGAGGCTTTTATGTAACTGGCTATTAATTTACAGTACTGCTATAAAACAAATAAGTGCTTTGACAAAGAGATCTACTCAACCTGTAAATGTTACTAGTTATTGAATTCTATGTACCAGCCACTGAACTAAGTACTTTTGTTCATCATTTAATATAATCCTTACAGTGTACTTCTAAGGAATATGGTATGCCTATTTTATACATGAGGTTCAGTGTCCAAGGGCATACCCTTGGTACGTGGCAGAGTTTGATTTTTTTATATAATAGATTTATTGAGATATAATTCACATACCATACAGTTCACCCATTTAGAGTCCAAGTCAGTGGCTTTTAATGTATTCTCAGAGTTCTGCAGTTATCACCACAATCAATTTTGGAATATTCTCATCATGCCAAAAAGAAACCCATTAACATTCACTCCTTATTTTCCACCAGCCGCCCTGCCTCCCTCCAGCCCTGGGCAACCACCAATAAACTTTACTATTTTGGGCATTTCTTATAAATGGAATCATACAACATCTGTTCCTTTATGACTGGCAGAGTTCAAATTTGAACCCATTTTGTCTAACTGAAGCATACATATGCCCTTGACAGTTGTTTTATTGCCTCCCACCATGGGGAGTGTTTATTTTTATTTATTTATTTATTTATTACATAAAATGATATACGCATACTGAAACGATTGTGGAGGAATTGGGTGCCTTAAGAAGGTAAGATATTCTGAATGACTAGTGATCTGTTAGATTAACCTGTCAGGTTCCTTACTTCCTAGTGATGTTCTTTTAGCTATTTAAGTAGAAGAAAGTGGTGGATATGAGGATGAGGACCAAAAAAAATCTAGCAAAAGAATGATCTGTGAAGGTTTCATATATCCATGTGCCTGCAAGTACTCAAGGAAATTTACTCTGTTCTTTTACTTTGGCACTGTGGATAGCTTCTGATGTGCTGTTCATCTGTAGTGGCATATTTGAGGTAACTGTATCTTTGTTCTCACTTTAAATCATGTTATCTGAAGGGGTTTCATGGATGTGTGATTGATAAGAATTGTATTCAATTTTGACCTGTGGGATTAATTTCATGGAAAACTACCCAGTTGACAATTGACTTTCTCTGCATTTCAGTGATACATCAATTTTTTTTCTTTTCACTTTTATTGTGGTGAAAATATACACAAGACATTCGCCAACGTAACAACTTCCACATTTACAGCTCAGGGACGTTGATGACATTTTTCGTATTGTGCCTGCATTATTGCTGTCCTTTTCCAAAATATTCTACCACCTATTAACATAAACTCAATGTCCCCCAAACAAAAGCTTCCCCTTTCCCCCTCCATTCCAGCCCTGGTAACCACTAATAATCTCTGGCGTGTGTGTGTGTGTGTGTGTGTGTGTGTGTGTGTATCCTTTTATCCCCACCTATCTAGAAATTTTCCCTCCCCTCCCATCCCTGGTAACCAACAGAAAAAGTTTCCCTCCATGTGTAAACCTTCCCTTGAACTTTTTTTTTGCTCAATAAAACATGTAATAATAATTTAACTTGAATCACATGGAATGCCCAGAATTGATGATTCTGCCCATATTACAGATGACGGAAATAGAGTCATAGAGAGATGGAAAGATCCAGCTACAGGTCAGGAACAGACTCGGGAATCCTGTGCCCAGACTCATGCTAAGTCTAACAGTCAAATTCCATCCCTCTAAGGTGGTAGAGAGACAGTGGAGGTATATGGCTCAAGGGTCAGCTTCGTTGCTAAGCTGCTGACTTTGGGAGAATCACTTCAGCCCTCTGGGCCTCAGTTTTCTCCCTCTTTCAGATAGTGAGCCCTCATCTATAAGTATCAGTAGGTACTATGTGAAAGTTCTTTGAAAAAGTACAAAATGGCATTTGCTACCTCGAAAACATAGATTTAAATCTGCCAGGCTGCCTTGTAAGAATTGTTTGGAAGGTGCTGGATGAGTAATGAAGCTGTGGTGCTTTAAAGCTCACTAAGCACTTTCACCCTCGTGGTTTCTTTGATTTCCCCCCCCCCAAGTTGTGAGGTATTTCAGACAGCTGCTATTCTCTCAGGTGAGGAACTAGGAAACTGAGGCATAGAGAAGTTGAGTGACTTGTTCAGGCCATGCAACTAAGTAGAGAATGAACCACACTCACACCTGAGTTTTATGATGCCAATTTTAGGGCTGTCACAGACCTCCACTCCACTGGCAGGAAAGCAAGGGGTACCCCTCAGGAACTTGATCATAGAAAACCAGGTTGTTCCAGGGCCTTGGCTAGCCTGGCCACTCTGTCTGCAGGCCCTTGCCACAGCCTGGCTGATGGGGTTGCTGGAGGCCCAGATTACCCGGTGCTTGACTTTGGGTGGTGCATAAGAGTTCGTGGTGAAGATAGGGATGTTGGTGCACAACTTGGTGAATAGCTATTGGGCGCTGAGGGAAGGCAGCAGACACTGTCTATTTTGCTAAGCTGTATGAGTTGTCTTCTGAGCATTGTGCTCACCAATGTGGCCCAGTCATGAGCACAGAGACCTGGATGTCTTTGTAGTAATCACAACACTACCCTGGACTTCCCCTAGCATTCTGAGGCGGCTCCACTTACGGGAGCTCTCCCGTCCCCTTCCTCCTCCTCCTGGATGCCATCCTCTTCAGGAGGAGAAAGCTGTCTAAATGGCATGATTTGTGGAGCCTGGAGGGCTTTTGACCACAGACATCTCCTCTGCTGGGCAGTCCTCCTTACAAATGTTCTTTTCTTGGTCACAAAGGTCATGGTTAAACCTATTTTCTGCCCTAGGCACTGTACTCAGAGCTGTACATACTTATTTTCTCAACATTTACACAAAGTAGATGCTATTACTGACACTCCTTTCCCTCCATTAACGTAAAGGAACTGAAGCTTAGAGGGTTCTAACAACTCACCCAGGGACATGGCAGTAAATGGCAGAGCCATTTCTTTGACTTTTTACGATAGTGGTGATACATCAGCCTTAAAGCCAAGTGCTACAATCCACTGAGCCATCCTGAGAGAGGACAATAGGGAATTTAATATGTATCAGTTAACCTAAAATAGGCTGAAAACAGATGAGGCATGGCACATCCCTTTAATGTCCACCTAAGCAAGCTGTGGGTTATATTCAGATTACTTTTTTTACCATTTGAGTGTTTACTTTGTGTCAGATACTATTCTAAGTACTTTTCATATATAGTAACTGTTTTATCCTCCTTTAAAATTCCTGCAATCTGGGTACTATTAACCCCATTTTATAGTGAAAAAATTGAGGCACAAAGATAAGTAACCTGCCTAAAGTCATATAATTGGGGTTCATACCTAGGCAGTCCTACTTCCAGAGTCTGTGTATCAATCACTGTATGGCCAAAAGACTGGAGACAGCTGTGTTTGTTACCGCTGCCTGAATCTAATCTGTATCCACTCTGCCTGAACTTAGTAGGAAGTAGAGACTTTTCAGAGGAGTAATTCATTCTATTTACAACTAATCTCTGGTTTTGATATCTGGTGGTCAATGTGAAAGCTCAAATCACTTATTGCAAGGATATACATTTCAGTTTCTGCTGAAGTGGAAAGACTTACGTAAACAAATTTCTATCTTGTCTTTCTTCCTAGGGGGATACCATGAAGAATATGTTTATCCTTCAGGTCAGTGAGATCTAGTATAATGTGACATTCATCATTTGTGAAATTTCGAACTATAAAATAATGCTAATTTTTTTTACTTTGGCTATATCCTCTAGAGCCAGACTATGAAACGTCAGGTGTTTGTAGAACAACTGAATCTACGGCAGACTTGGTAGGTATTTAATAATAATAGCAAACACAGCTCCTACTGTGTATGAGGCCACTGTTCTAAGAACTATAGGTATAAACATTTAAAGCACAGTAACATTATGAGGCAATTGTATCATTTACTGGATGAAGAAACTGAGGCACAGAAACAAAGTAATTCATCCAAGATCATACCCCTGTCCTGAAATTAATCTATTTAGAGATATTCCTAATATGTGAGGTATAAGAAAGATTCTGGCCTTGTCAGTGATAGCTTATTTTACAGGATTATTAACTACAACTTTAGTGTCAGTATAAGAAAAGCCTGTAAATCTGATGAGTTTAATAAAACAAAAGCTTTGCTCACTTACACTGCATGTCCAGTGGAGATTTGCAGGAGGGCTTTGCTTAGGGATTCAGGCTGATAGAAGTTCCATCCATAATTTCCAAGGTGTGGGAAATAAAAGGTGGTGAATAGTGCGCTGGTGTTAAAGCTTCTACGCAGAGATGATACATGTCACTTCCATTTCAATGACCAGAGCAGATCTCACCAAAGATTCTATGTTAGAAATAGTTTATAGCACTAATGACTACACCATTCAACTCCCTCTCCCTCCCACAGGCAAAACATTTCCTTCCTTTCTAAAGGAGGTAGTCCAAGAGTCCCATTCAGTATAATCAAACTCAAAAGTCCAGGATTTCTGGGTGATACATAGCATTCTCTGTATTACATTCTTAAAACCAAAAATATAATTTACAGTAGTGGAGCAGGGATTTTTAAAAAATACAATAAAAATTCGTACTCAGAGGGAAAGTGGGAGGAAGACAGTTACAGGCCTGTTTTAATTCCAAAATCATGATGAGGCAGACATTGTGAGGGCCACCAACCTAGGCATGGGGATTGTTCCTTGATTAGCCTTTAATCCTGTTCCTTGGAGGGGCTTTTTGGAAGGGTTCCCCAGTTTATTGTTTTCTGGGACTCTTGATTATTCCACGGCCCTTTCTTCTTGTCTGTATCTGAAGTGTAATGTAAGCATTGGGGAATAATCCACCCTTGGCAGTTAAAGAGCTTTCACAGCCTGCTGCTTGCTCACAAAAGATTAGGGGCCCAAGGATCATTTTATCTCAGTTGGATGCTTTTAGTTCTGACACATGATTTCATTGACTGTGACTGACTGACTTATACTTCTTCTTTGTTTGATTCCTGTTAGTTCCATGTACCAATAGGCATGACAATTTTTTATATAGATACACTACTTAGGTTTGCTGTAATGTTTTGCTTTACTTATCCCTCTGTCTCTCTACTTGATTGCCAGTAACTTGAGCTTATCGCATATTGAAGGGAGAACCGAAACTTTGGATGCTTTTCCATGAGCCACTTTGTCCAAGCAAAAGAATTTATAGGGTGTTATATCCTTAGTTGGACTCTAGCTTTGAGACTCTTAATATATTCAGAGACTTTAACAATGACTTGATTCTTGCTGCAAGGCTGAATTTTAACTGGTCTTTTTTGTTCAGAGCATTTATTAATTTTATCTTTTACAGCTTGGTGTTGAAGCAGTTGCCTCTTCAACCCAAAAAGACCCTGTATTTATGAATTCTTACTACTTTTCATTCCTTCCTGCAGTCTAATTCTTTTCCACACAGATGTCTTTCTTACAATAGCTCGTTAAACTTTGCCAAGGTAATAAACATACATGATACTAACACTCTTTTAATGAAGCCTCTCCCCCCCAAGAGCTACAAGTTCATAATCTTTCCAAGTTAGGTTTTGTTACTACAGCACCATACTTCCTTCTGATCACCAATTTCTGTTTTATTTAAGCTAGGTTATACTACAGTAATAACTACCTGCCCCCCATAATCTCAGCAGCTTAACACAGGAAAAGTTGGATGTTGAATGCAAGTTGATAGGAGGCTTCTTTTCATCATAGGCACTCAGGGACGCTGGCTGATAGACACGTACTTTGATTATCATCTCGGCAGGGATATATCGATAGCAGGGAACACTGGCTTTTTACAATTTCTGCTCATGTTTCATTGGCCAAAACAAGTCACATGACTATACCTAACTTTAAAAAGGGCAGAGAAGGCAATCCTACCCTATGTGCTCAGAAACAGAACTGAAATATTTGTGAAGAGGTTTAGTAACTTTTATACTCTGGTTATTATGTTTTTCACATAAAACGTACCCAGGTGAATAACAAACATGTGCACACAATGTGCATAGCCCACATAGGAAACCAGCACATAATAGGGTTGCATGGTTTAGAAGAAAACATGAAATGTGAATTATTTATATAAACATATGATAATTTTAACTAAGCAGCTTCGTGTACTAAATTTTTGCTTTTATATTTTAGGCATAACATCTTTAGGAAAAAAAAAAAAACAAACTCACTGCTGTTGAGTCAGATCTGACTCATAGTGACCCCTGCTTGGGTTTCCAAGGC